GGGCCTAATATGGATCCTTGTGGGACACCGAAAGAGACCGAATTTTGACTGACAACGTTCTTGTGGATAGATAACTTCTGAACCAATAGTTGTCTATTCCATGATTTTTCCTTTTGTTAAGCAGGATTTTATGGCTGGTACTGTCAAGTGCTTTTGACAGATCACACATTGTGAGTAGATTTATTTGATTCTTGTCTATGCCATCATAAATTTTGTTTGTGATTTTTAGTAAGGCTGTTTCGGTTTATAGCTTACTTCTAAACTAAAGCGTTTCAGAAATAAGGTGATTGGATTTTTTCTTTTTTTTTTCTAGTGCTTTAGATATTACTGGGATTAGAGTCATAGGCCGATAACTGTTCAGTTGCTCTGCATCTCCTGATTTGAAAATAGGTGTTATGATGCCATTTTTCCACAGTGATGGGTAGGTACCGGTGACGATAGATGTGTTTATAATGACAGTTAGATAGAAAGCAATTGCGGGCAAGCTTTCTTTGATGAATCGAAAAGGAATGTTATCCACACCTACAGCATTCGTTTCATGTAATTGTTTAATCGTTAAAACTGTTGTTTCCACTCCTATTGGTTGTGGTCTGAAAGCATTTGTTGAGAGCCTTGTCTATATGCTTGTCTGTGGTGGAGATTACATTTAATTTTAAAATGTCCCTTGCGTACATGCATACTCCTCTTACATCTATAAACATTAAAATTTTGAATGTTAATGAAATTACTTGACATTTCTTCATGAAGCCATGTTTCACTAATGCAAAGGATGTCGATATTTCTCTCAGTGATCATCATCTCAATTTCTTCAAAGTGACTGAGGAGAGGTTGCGCATTGATATGTTCTATTTTGATTGTATAGCATGACGTGACCTTTGGTTTTGCTGATTGTGTGACGGCATCAAACAAGCTAGTCGTTCTTGTACTTACTTTATTTTTTAGAGAAAACATCTGAATTTGTGAAGGGTTCTGGGTGTATATTTTTGCCTCTGATGGTTACTGTGAAACTAGAATAATGTTAATGTGTAATGTTTGTCTTATATCCTTTTGCATTTGTTAAGTTTTCAAATTCTTGGTAAGGAAATCTTCTTCGTCTTCTTCCTCTATGTCAGGGTGACAACTAGTGATGTATAAGTACACTACCTGGGGATGTTCTACACCTTGTAGTGGTTTGGATGTTTGGCGTTCCTCGTGTGATTTTCTTCTCCCTTTTCTGGAGATGACAGTGACGAAACCTTCCATGTCCTGCTCGTTTGTTTATTGCGCTCCGGTCGTTCTGTGATGTTGACAACGACCGTGGGCCCTTGCGGTGGTGAGGAGATAGTACAGGGGACAGGGACTCCAGGAAGATTTTGTTCCTTTGTTCTTCCTCTTGCTGTTCTTTATATAGCGAAAGGGAAGGGTTGGTAGGAGGACTGGTCATGGGCAGGGGAGGGGAGGGATGAGATGAATTTGCTGCGAGTGATGCTTCCTCTTCACATTCCTGCTTCTAAGTAGGCATCACGTCTTGGCCAAGCAATTTATTGATGGTAGACTGCTGGTCACAGAATACTCCAATCAGCAAGTCTATCTTGTTTTCGATGATATCACGATTAATCATAGCTGGCTCGTTGTGTGTCTGGGTGCCTTGGTTTGTGGGAAAAAAAAAATTGGTGGTGACCAATCTGTAGTCTGTAGACCATCCTTGCCCATGCTCTCTTTGTTGCAAGAAAGCAAAGGATGGTGTTCAACACTATTGTTATGTTGCCTATTTGATACACTGCTTTTTTGTTGTAATCACTGCTGTCAATGTCGTCACTGGATGCACTGTTTTCATTGCTGTGTTTGGAAAGGATGTCAGGGTTGTTAAATAGCCCTGGTTCAAGATGGAATGAACCAAGTGTGAATGTACCATCCCCTCTCATAGGCCTTGGTTCACCTGGAAGCCATTTTGTCTCATCCCTCACTGGTGACCCCTCCGGTAATGGGTAGTCCACTGGTCTGGCTCTGGATGTGTATGTGTGTGTGAGTATCATCATTCATCTTTGGGTAGCTAACACCAACAAGGCTGATCATTCTTCCCAAGCCACGACATCCTAGGTCATCCCACAGGCCTCCTCCACCTAGGGTTGTTTCAAACAGAGACAATCTAATAGGCAAGATAGTCCTGTGGTAAGCAAGCCAGGCACCCATATAGCCTGAATTGTGTAATTAATGGGTCTTGTGCCAGTCTAACAGTGTACCTGTTAGTTGGACATGGTCTCCTGCCAACTGTACCACATGATCCGATGCAAAGACTTATTACAAAGGGATCGAGACAAGATTCCTTCATTTAGCTTCATTGCTAAGTGCATCTAGTGCCACCATTAGGGTTTAAAGAGACTCAGAAAAACAACATTGTTAGCAAAGTCAAGGTTGGTAACTTTGTTATTGCGCAGTGTTGCTCCACAGTGACTTTGGACAGTCCATGCAAGTGTTGAACAGTGCTAAAACACAACCTTGCTTCACTTCTGAACTAACA